CCCCAGGCAGATGGATTGTATCAGATGCCTGCCATGTGCCTCCCTGGCACAGGATGAAACCACTATTTCAACATCTTCTGGGAGAGAAGAGTAGCAAAATAATCTGAGCTGTAACTGATAAGTTGATTTTACGGTCTGTTCAATAACCCGTATCCCCTTAAAACCAACCTCTCCATGAGTCAAACTGAGAATGTTGAGAGATGTGAGTTTTATTAACAGTGAATTAGGACTCAGCTTGATTGACATCTCTTAAGATGTATGATTTCTCAACAAGGAGAAGCCGGGGGACAACAGTAGCTCCTGTTTAACCCTCTGTGTTGAATCCTGCCACTTTCTGCGGCTATAGTTGTCTATCACTCTGTAAAGATCACTGCAAACTTAAGACACTCAAGAGCAACAGCCGCTTCCACCTCTCAAGGCACGGGTCAGAATCCCGGTGGGCTGCACGGGTGCCGCAGGTCTGGGTTCTTACCTAGGAACTCCAGGCTGCTCCAAACTCACTGCAGCCGCTGGCTGGAAGGACTGAGGTCCCTGGGGATCACCCTCACTCCTGCTGATGCCCACTTCCCCTGTCCTGTGGTCCCCGTCTGCAAAGCCAGCAGCAAATCGAATCTGTCTTCTGACCTGCTCTTCCAGCGGCCACTTGGGACAGGCCGCTGTTAAAGGGCTTGCGAGAGCAGAGGAGCCGGCAAAGACCTGCTTACAGGTGCGCGGGCTCCTCCGCCGCGGCTCCGGGAGTACCACCTACCGGCAGCGGCCATCCCGCCCCACAGGGACCTTGCTGCGGGAACTGTGTACAGCCACCTGCACAGCCTGACTCAGGAGTCCCAGCAGAAGGGCAGGAGGAGCAGAACAGTTAGAAAGCTCCCTAAGAAGGGGAGGGAGACACGAAGCAGAGGACAGCAGGGTGAGGAACAGAGGGGACCCCAGCCCAACCCTCCCAGCACCGCTGCCGAGCCTCTCCCCCAAGATGATGAGCCCTCAGGTCAGCGGACCATGGGGACACAGCGCAGCTCAGCTGCCTCCAGACCGGGCAGGTCCCTCTCCTGTGCGCAGGGGGCTGCGCAGGACTGAGGGAGGGGCATCACAGTGGGACGGGGGCTATTTGGACCCAGATTAAAAACCAAAAGTACATGGATATTTTTAGGAGAATCAGGAAAACTTGAAGATAAACTCAGTGTCGCACAAAGAAGCCTTGGGAACACTGTGGCTGGGTAAAAGAGCTGTGGTGACATAAGGACACTCTCCCGGTTTTAGAGAAGCCACTGGGGCTGAAGTGCTATAGTTTAATAGCTTTAAAGTATTTTAGTGACCACACACACACACACACAAAAAAGACAGAATGGACAAAACAAGGATAGTAAAATGTTGAAAGCTGTTGATTCTCAGTGGCTTAAATAAACGTGTGTGTGTGTGTGTACACGCGTGTTTATCCACACTCCCTACACAGGTGTACACACGTGGGCTCACTGCTGCAGTCCACTGTCGCACCTGATGAAATGTTTTCATCAACAGTTTGGGGAGATTCCTACACCGAGGCCTGCCGAGGGCCTGAGCTTGGAGCTGGTCAGGAGAAGCTGAGCTCTGACTTGGAGGGCAGTGGTCACAGGGAAGGATGGTGGCGGGTGGGGCCTTGGAGAGGGGATGAGTGACGGGCTGGACCCTGCCCTGTCAACATGTGTCCTATCTGTCTGGCCTGTCCTTTTGCGTTCCACCTCTGCCTGGCACCGGTGCCTGTGCCAGGCTGTGACACCAACTGTGGAGAAGACACACTGGGGGGCTGGAGGTGTGCCAGGGGGCACTGACGAGAGGGGACCTCAAAGGAGAGAGGGACAGAGGACACAGAGGAAGAACCACCGGCCCGCAGTGCACTGCAGAAGCTGGCAGGTGCTGGGGCGGCAGTGTCACCGCCGTCAACCAGTTGGGTCTGAATGGGGAGCCTCCCTCCTTCCACAGCAGCATCTATCCACAGGCCACCGAGCAGGGGCAGCCCCAGCGTCCCTCAGCTGACCATGGATAACCAGGACACGGCACAGCCACACCACGCAGAGCTCTGGCGCAGGCAGACCCAGGCAAACAGGGAAGACGTGGCACAGGGGGTCGCCGAGTCAAAAGGCCACTTGTGCCGCATCCCACAGAGGCAGGAAGTGGATCAGTGGTTGCCAGGGGCTGGGCCAGGAAGGGGGACGGGTGGGCGCAGAGACTCTTTGGAGAGTGATGAAGACGTTGTAAAATCTGACAGTGGAGCCGCTCTGTGCTCCTGACCCACCCAACACAGGGAGCTGGGCGGGGAGCTGGGGCGTCCAGCGGGTGGAGTTCACACTCTTAAGAAATGCATCTCAATGAACCCGCAAAGAAATTTGCAATTTTTGACTAACCATGGGAGGATAATTACTTTCCCTTCCCTTGCAAAGGTTTTTATTTCAAAATCAAGAGCAAAAAAGCATTTCACATAGATGAGAGTGAACCAAACATCACAAAAATAATGAGAGAACAACAGGAGAGCAAACCGTCCACTCCTCTGCTCCCGGCCACAACCTGAGGCACAGGGTGAACTCTGTCTATGCAGTGGGGACATTAGCTTGCCACAGGCTCCCCTCAGAGCACAGGTAGGCCACACCCCGCCTGCTACTCCACCCCAGCGCCAGCGGCCACTCTTTACCAGGGACTCTTTAAAAATCAAGGAGAACGGGGGATCCTAAGCCACTTCCCTCCCTTGGGTCAGTCTACACTCTCACCAGCAAAGAAAGCCCAGAAGGATCTAGAAAAACCTGTGGTCTCACAGAGACCTGGCAGTCTCCATGACTTCTGGGGACAGAAGCACATCAGCCTCACTGCCCAAGGGGGAGCAGTCTCAGGACCCCTGCAGACACCAACCTCTGTGGATGCTGAAGTCCCGTTTCCACATTAAAAGGCACAGGATCTGCCCGTGAACTCTGCTCATCTCCCACGCACTCTGCACCACCTCTAGATCCCTTAAACTACGTGAATGCTTTGGACAGGGCTGTCATGCAGAGTGGTTATGACACTGTGCATTAGGAGCCCAGACAACGATTGGTGATTTTCTCCAGCTGTGGTCTGGAGATTTTGTGGATGCAGAATTCATGGACGTGCAGGGCTGACTGAATACACAAACGGAGTTCCAGGGAACTGTGATTTCTTAGAATTTTAATAAAGTCATTTCTTCCAGCCATAAAATAATTTAAAAGCTGAGATACACACTCCCCGGCAAACCCTCCAAGTGGTGTGGGTGGCAAGCCAGGCACAGAGGGGAGGAACACCCAGCACCCCACCCGCTGACTGCACCTGCAGACCCTGGACCAGCCTGCACCGGAGTCAACGCTGCAGGCAGCTGGGCTACCAGGAAGGGCCCCCCGGCAACCCAGCCCTGGCTGAGGGGGAAGTGTGTTCAGGAAACGCATGGACAGTAGGAACTCTCTACAGGGACCGAAAACAAGAAGGTGGCAAAAGGGCTGTAGGTCTAACCCGACCGGAGGGCAATGCCCGTAGACAGACCACCAGCTCTGGAAGGTGGATGAGCCCAGGTACCTCATGGGCTTAGAGGGCTGTGGTCACAGGGAATGATGGTGGCGGTTGGGGGCTTCACCAGCCCTGGAACGCCACATTACAGAGTTCCCGAGCAACCCTGCCTCCCCTGAGCACTGTTAGTGAACCAGAGCACCCCTGCACCCCAGGACACCTGCACCACAGCACCATGACATCAGGAACCCCTGCACCCCAGAATATCTGCACCCCAGGACACTTGCACCACGGCACCACGACACCTAGAAACTTCTGCACCCCAGCACCCCTGCACCCCAGGACACCTACACCATGACACCTGGACACCCCTGCACCCCAGCACCCGTGCACCAGAAGAGACCAGCACTGGTTAGGATTGGGCATGACCAGGAAGAGATGGTCCCTGATCTGTGTCCATACAGGTGGCGTCCTTGTGACCCACAGAGTAGAAAGTTGAATGACCTACAGGGGTAAGAGCAGCGCAGTGGACCTGATGATCAGGAAGAGATAAGAGACCACCCACCACGGAAACCGATGGCGTCCAGTGACAGAGCCCCACACACTGGAGGAGACAGCTGCCCTTGGGGAGACGCGTGTCAGCCCCGCTCTCCAACAGCCATGCAAAGCCAGCAGCAGGAGAGAGGCTGAGGATCTCTGAGTATGAGGGAGGGGAGCCCCACACCAGGGCCCAGGGACCCAGAGAGAGCCTCTTTCCTGGCTACCAGGAGCTCCATCCTTTGCCTGGACAGCGGGGACGTCCAGAAGCAAGCTGCACCCTGCAGGTGCATACCAACCCCCCCCCAGGTGTTTTTGCTTCTGATAAGGCCTCCAGAGAACAGGACAAGGAGCCGCTCACACCAGCCAAAGTCGCCCCCTCAGTCTTCTAGTGACCTAGTGTGAACTCTGCTGACAATCACCTCACTAGATGCTTCTCGGTCCCGGGGTGTTCCTGTCCCCCGTCTTTGAATATGTGATGCACGAAGAAGCCTGATCTTGAATTAAGCGTGCCCAGGAGTGTGCGCACCTCTTTCGAGATGCTGAGTCTTCCCAGGATGCCCAGGGACACACGCCCTCTCTGTTCAGGGAGTCGCACTTTGGGAAGTACCCAGTGCACCCCTCCCATGCTGCAAGTAGTCAAGCCCTCCGCCCTTCACTTCCTGGCTCTGCTTATCAGCTCTGCACCCCTCAAGAGGTGAACCTCTGTGTTCAGCTCCACTTTGATTTTGGGCAACCAGCCCCCAAGGAGACTTAAAACCCAGCTGAACTAGTCTGTTTCCTAGCAGCTCATTCACAGGACGTGTTATGAGAAACACAAGTAAGCATTAGGCCCCTTACTAGGTGCACAAAATCTCCTCCATTCCCACCAATAAATAGCTAGGAAGGCTACAAAAGCGCCAGGGGTTATATCTATAAATCACACAGCCCTGCCTGACTTCACCACTACAGTCACCGCAGGCCACGTGAGCAGCAGGACTCACCGATTCTCTGATTGAAAATCTTGTCGAAGGTTATCTCATTTCTCTCCTCGAGATACTTCTGCATCACATTCCGGATACTGAAAGAGAAGACGGCACATCTTTAACAACACGGACCTCACCGTGACAACCATGCCCAGAAGGGAGCAGGGAGGGGGGCCTTCCCAAGACACTCACTTTAGGGGAGACCCTTCCTGCTGTCACAGGGGCCGGTGACATGGCTGAGCAGATCTAAGCCAGCCTTCCAGGTGGGAACGCCATAGCACCCCTGGGGACCCTGAAGACCCTTCGCCCTCCAAAATAGTCTATGTGCCTGTGTGTGCACACACACCAACACACACACACCAACACACACAGCCCTGGGCGCACGACACACATGCACAGGTCCTGCTTGTCACTTCATGAGCTTCTTTCTGAAACAAACGTTTCACATATATACAGAGGAGCTGCTGGGTCACAGGTGTGCACCATGGCGCCCGGCTGCGTTGAGCTTTAATGTAGAACAGAAGCAGCAAGATGCAAAAATTGAGAAGAGATGGATTATTCAATAAGTGTTTATTCAAATGGAATAAGGGGAAGATAGAATCTCCACTATCCAGACAGTGGAAATGAACAAGGATTCAGCATCACTCTTAACACTAACCAAGGTGTAATTTAAACATGATTAAATGTGCATTCAGTGTTTATTGTTCTATGAGTCTTCACAAATATGCCCTTGCAACTACCCTCCTATAGCAAGTACAAAACCTTCCAACCCCTTCCTAAAAAAGGTGCCCCTTTGCATTTCCCGTATTCTAGACTCCAGGCAGGGACTGGTCTGCCCTCTGTCCACACAGGTTATGTGCTCCAGTTCTAGACTTCTAGGCAGAGGGCAGGATGCGATGGGTCTTCCGTGTCTGGCTCTCACCCGACAGAAGTGAGCTTCACCCACCTGCTGTGAGCCACCCCTCAGCCCCTTTCCATGGCACGGAGCGTGCTACTCTGATTAGCCCACAGTCGATTCACGCATCCGCCTGTTGATGGACATCCGCGCGATGCTTCCAGTGGGGGGCTATCAGGAATAAAGGTGCCTCAAATATCTGTGTATTCTTCAACTTATGGGTGTGCGTTTCCATGTCTTAGGGTCAACAGCCCCAAATTGAAATTGTTGGTCACGTGGTGAAGTGGTGTATTTTACATCCTGGGGAGTGGCGGGACCACCTCTGTTCCAAGCTGGGCTCCCACTTTACATTCCCATTGACAGTGCAGGACGGCTCCAGGGCTCCGTGTTCTTGCCAATACTTGGGTTGCTCATCTTTTTACATTTAGCCACTCTGTTGAGCATGTAGCACTATCCTATTTTAATTTGTCTTTTAACTTTCATTTCCTTAATGGATAACGGCAATGAGTGTGTGGGCACACCATTATTGGAATTCATACACCTTCTTTTATGACGTGTGTAGTCAAATCTTTTGCCTTTTAGTGGAACTGATTGTTCAGTGGTGAGATGTCTCTATGTAGCCTGGCGAGAAGGGCTACTTCAGATTCCGTGATGCTGATATTCTCTCCCAGGTAGTGCCTTAGCTCCCCATTTTCCTCAGGGAGTCCTACCAAGAGTGGAATATTTAAGCTCTTCTGTTGGTTTCTTGGTTATTTCTTTGATGGACACTATGCTAAGAAGTCATGACACCCCAAGGTCATGAAGATTTTAATCTGAATTTTCCTCTAGGAGTTTTAGCTTCTACATTCAGGTCTAATTTCCATTTCAGGCTGATTTTTGTGCATAGTATAAGGCAGGAATCGTCATTTCTGGTCTTTTGATAATCCCTAAGGGTCCCAGGGTCACTTGTTGAAAAGGTCATCCCTCCTGACTCAATCATCTTGGCCCTCGGTTGGTTCAACACCCAGAACCTGCAGGTCTACCTTTGGACTGACCCGTGGCATTGATCTTTAGGATTCTCCTTTCATAAACACTGTATTGTCTGAAGTGCTGTTTTGCTAACTTCTTAAGAAGGTGGATTGACAAATTCAAATATTTCTAATGCAAGTGTTTAAAGCCCGGGATTCCTTCTAGGCATGGACTGAGCTGCACTTCATGGATAATAATTCATTCTATTTTCATTTCCTTTCAATTCAAATTATTTTCTAATTTCCCTTGGTCCTTGTTCCTTGACCTGTGTGGCTTCATTTCCAAACACGTGGAGACTTCCAGTTGCCTTTCAGTTATTGGGTTTCAGTTTAGTTCTTTGGTGTCCACGGAGCCTATGCTGAACGCATCGGTTCTTTCCAGATTTACAGACGTTCGTTTCCTTGGTTGGAATGGGATGGGGCTTGTGGAGTATTTCGTGCAGGTTTGAACAGAATGTGCGTGCTGTCGTGGGACGGACCCATGGGTGAATGTCAACTGGGTCCAGCTGGCTGATGGTGTCCAGAGATTTTTCTGTGTTCTCACTGATTTTCTGTGTCCTCCTTTCATACGTGACTGAGAGGAGAGCGCTGGAGTCCCCAACTGCAACGGTGACTCCGTCCACTGCTCCTTCTGGCTCTGTCTCTGGCATCAACAGGCCCTTCCCTGCAGGGCACTGTGTTTTATTTTGAAAGCTGCCATTAAAAAGAATGAAATGATGGCGTTGGCTGGTAAGCGGAAGGGACTGGTGACCACCATGCTAAGTGAAATGGCCCTGAGAGCGCACAGTGGGATGTTTCCTCTGAGTTGCAGAAGCTAGGCCAAAGTAAGGGGGCTGGCAGGGAGACAGAAAAGAAGTGGGAATTCTGTCAAAATAAAAGAAAGATCCAGTACAAGGGCATCGGGGGGTGGAGGGACAGGAACAGGGAAGGACAGCGGGAAGAATCTGCTTCCAATGACATACATGAGCCCACCACAGTGAATCCCAACATTATGGACATCCCCAACACACCAATATTTGTTTTCTTCTTTGAGTACCAGAGATTGAACTCAGGGGCGCTCAACTCCTGAGCCCCACCCCAGCCCTATTCTGTGTTTTATTTAGAGACAGAGTCTCACTGAGTTGCTTAGCACCTTGCTGTGGCTGAGGCTGGCTTTGAACTCTCAATCCTCCTGTCTCAGCCTCCGGAGCTGCTGGGATGACAGGCGTGTGCCAACGCGCCCAGCCACAATACACCAATTTTTAAAATGTAAATAAATGGAAAGATCGGTTGAGGAGCGGGAACAGAGGAAAGGCAGAGGGGAAGGTAAGGGTAAGCACTGGAATTCTATTCCATGCATTTGTGATTGTGTCAAAATGAATCCCAATGTTATGCGTAACTATTATGAGCCAATAAAATGATTTAAGAATGAAACAAAAAATAAAAATCTAATTTGGGGCTGGGGCTGTCACTCAGGGATAGCACTCGCAGCACATGTGAGGCCCTGAGTTCCATCCCCAGCGCTGCCAAAAGAAGAGAAATTGTCTAACCACCCTAGGAATCTGTCCCATGCTCGTATCTCCTCCCTACAGTTCTTGACTATTACACTCTACTAATAATTTTTTTTGTTGTACTATTCGGTTCCTATTTGCATTTTAAATATTTCACATTTAATTTTTAGTTGAAAGAAGGTAGCTGCTTCCCCGTGCTACATAGAATGAGTAATTTCATATGTATCTTAGATTTAAGTACGAAGCCTAAAACTACAAAACCTTTTAAAGGAAACAAATGAAAAAATCTTTGTGACTGGGTCAAACAAAGACTTCAGACACAACACAAAAGCACCAACCAAAGACAAGGATTGATTAGATTTCACCAAAATGAGAAACTCTGTTCCTCAGAAGAGCACTTCAGAGAATGAAAACGTAAGCCCAGACAGAGAGAAAATACTGGCAAATCATACCCTGATTAAGGATCTGGATCCAACATATATAAAGATCTGTTAAAATTCAAGAACAAGAAAACAAAAATATCCAATAAAATTGGGAAATTATCTGAATGGACACTTCAGGAAAGAAGATCAATGGAGGACAACTAGGCACATGGAGACAGTTGACATGGTGCTCACTGGGGTGAGGCACCAAAAATCAAGTGAGATCCCTCTACACATGCTATTGGAAAGTGTGGCTACAATACAAAGGACCATACCAACTGTTGGCAAGGACACAGAACAACTGAACTTCTCCTGCGCTGCTGGTGGGAATGTAAAATAGGGCACCCGCTTTGGAAAAGTGCCTGGCTACATCTACCATGTGACCCACCCACTCCACTCCTGGGTATTTACCCAGAAAAAGGAAATGATGCATCCATACAAAGCTATGCACATGAATACTCTCAGCAGCTTCATCTCAGACGTCAAAAACAGGGATCAAGGGGCTGGGGCTCAGCGGGAGAGTGCTCACCTAGCACGTGTGAGGCCCTGGGTTCAATCCTCAGCACCACATAAAAATAAATAAATAAAATAAAGGTATGGTTCCATCTACAACCGAAAAATAAATATTAAAAAAAAAAAACAGGAATCAATGCCAGTGCCCACACTAGATGACGGGATCTGGAAATGGGACTCTCAGGACAGGGAGTTTCTTGGACCTAATAAAGGAATAAACCAGCCACACATGAACAACAAAAGTAAATCTCAAAATAGTCATTCTGAGTTAAAGAAGCCTGAGCTCCAGTCCCAGAAGAGGACACCCTGCTTGACTACAAAGAGCAAGGTGCAGGTCTTCCAGGGTGGAGCGTGCGCCAAGGTTAAAGCATGTCGACTCCACATGTCTTTATCCCTTGCTCCTGGCACAGAGCCCCTAAGACCCCTGGGATCTTCTGAGCTCCTAAAGGAGAGTCTTTGTTCACAAGAAGCCCTTCCTAGCCCTGCACGGTGGCCCACACCTGTCATCCCAGCGGCTCAGGAGGCTGAGGCAGGAGGAGAGCGAGTTCAAAGCCAGCCTCAGCAGTTTAGCAAGGCCCTGAGCAATTAGTAAGACCCTGTCTCTAAGTAAAAAAGTGAAAGGGCTGGGGATGGGGCTCAGGGGTGCAATTCAAAGAGGAGGAGGAGGGAGAAGGAGAAGGAGAAGCCCTTACTGAGAACTCTTGAAGGGTCTGAAGCACAGGTCCGGCCCAGTCATCTGTGTGCCGGGAGGTGGGTGGGCTCGCAGGG